GGGTAAACAAGATTAGGAGTACATTATAGTACTTTGAGGGAAATCCTTATGTCAGCATGCTAACAAGCTCACAGTGACCATGCTAACATGATGACATTTAGTAGATATAACATTGACCATTATTAGTTCAGCCTGTTAGCATGCGCACTGAATCTACAGCTGAGGCTGATGGGAATGTCATTAGTTTTGCAGGTGTATGTGCTCATAAAGGACTGGACAACAAAAAGAAATGTTGACCTGATGATAGCTAAATGAGTTAAGAGGTTCACCATTGAGGGAAACATGAATGTCTGTACCACATGTCTTTGCAAACCATGCAGTAGTTGATGAGACATTTCACACAAAACCACAATATCAACCTTATGGTGGCGCTAGAGGAAAAGTCAGTAGGATTCATCTTCTGGTGACCATGAATGTCTGTCAGGGTAATCCAACCAGTCCACCCAATAGTTATGTAAACAGATTGATATTTTAATCTGGAAGAAGAGAAGAACAGATTGACTAACATTGCCATCATAGAGCCAAATCACTAATGAATACATCTTAAAATAACTATTCATGTTTCACATGCTCAGTGGAAAAAACAAACTCAAAATGCCTAGCATGTTACAGGATTTTCAAATGAAAATCAGAGAATAATACAAAAAAAAGAGGAAAATCTCACTAACCAAAAGAAATGTGAGTGTAAAACAACAGAACTGTACTGACAAATGTTTTCATTTGGAAGTGCGTATTAAGCTCTAGTGCAAAAGACGAAGACGCTGACAGGCACCATGAAAAGGAAACAGAAGAAGATACAGAGGAAGACGAGACAGAGTGCGGTACTGAGTGGAAATCTGATTCCGCGTTAAGTTTCTTCAAACAGTCATAACTTCTGCAAAAATCATTATTAACAATAAAACACATTTTACTAAATACTGCCGATCACCACTTCGTACTAAAACTGTTCAACCAATTCATTACAAGAACTTGGAGGAGGAACTGGTGATTAGGCTGCAGGAACTTCGATTTAACTGAGTGAAAGAGTTTTTCAGGACTGACAACTCCACATTTATGTTTGTTGGCTGTCGACAATAACAGGTGGAGCTCACAGCAAGGGCTCCAATTAAAATCAAAATCAACCTGCCTGCTCGTAATTGCTTTTCCACCTCCACGTTATCTGTGTGTGTGATGTCGGTGCTAAATTTAACGACATCTAAATTTCACAGGCTTGTTTGGTTATTAGACGCGTTTCCAATATTCACTCTTTTAATCTAGTTTGTTATCATTTCGAGTGATCTTTATGGCTGTGTAAAGCCACAAAGATTAAATCCTACACTTTTCCTATGTGAGCGTTTGTGTCACAGGGCAAAGTGTCTTATTTCTCCTGTGGATACCCGAGTACTTTGTGTTGCCGCAGAGATTAGACTGAGCGCCCAGACCCATCAATATCCTTGACTCCTGTATTGCTCACAAACACACACACACATACACACATACACACAGTGATGGAGTGAGCGGAACAGACCTGACGCTCTCACTCACCGGTAAATGGCTGCTCTGATGGACTGAGGCTATTTAGACACACACACACGCACACAGACACACACATATACACACACACACTCAGCTGGTGATGGAGTGAGGCCATTCCCTATCCTCACCTCAAGCCCAGTAGCTGGCTGGCAGCCCAGTGTAGACTTGCCAATTGGCCCTTCCACCAAATCAACCACACAAACTTTTCTGATGAGCTCAGTACAGTACACACACTCTCTTTCTCTCTCTCTTTCTCTCTCTCTCCCACACACACACAGATTCACAGAGTCAGTATTGATTCCCCCCTGGAGAGTCCTGGTGAGCACTTTCTCTCCAGTTCACACTTTTCATGTGTTTCAAAAGTTAGCGATTCTTTTAAAATGTGCAATCCCTTGTCATTTGACTTGCCCTTGGGCTTACTTAGACACTTAAATTCCCTCTTCTCCATCTACCATTTTCATTATCCTTCTGAAACTATTACACTGTAAATTAATATTACATTATACTTTTGATTGCTTACATTTTCATGGTCATATAATGATTACTTGTGGGCTTAGGTTATAATCACATGGATTAAATAAATTTCCTACAGCCTAAGTCCATGCCATAGCTTTGATTTTACATCTCATTACAGCTAAATATTACATATTACTGTATATAACTGCCTCAGCCAGTGAAAAAGAGACATAAGCTTTGAGAGCAAACATGTTTGATTGACCTTTATTAACTGCTTAACATCATTCATTGTCTCCCACAGACACTATCATTAAGGACTAATAAATGTACTAACTGTAACCATGTCCCCTACAGAGCTTACTCTACACCCTTACTGCTGAGTTAAGATGAAGACATCTTTCTTCTTGACTCAAAGAGGATATCTTTCATTGCAAAACATATGTCTAAATGTACCTTATTACAGCAGACTAAGGTGGAACTTTTTAAAGACTTTTTCTAAAGATTACTGTTGCTAAGGGATTTTTACAGCTTTTTTTTGTTCCGTTGTGTGTGTAAAGATGTCTTAGCATAAGTATGAATGCTTAAATTGAATGAATGTCTGGTTCTGAAGAAAAGAAAAGATGTTAAGGTGTACAGATCTGCCACTGTGTCCCTATATGACAGAATGGCAACAGCCCCATCACTGTTAAACAATGACTAAATTAGTCAATTATACTGATATCTTCTTTGAAATTGCCATTAATGTCTTCTTCATTGTGTTACAGGATATTATGATTGTATTCATTCCAGCAGTAGACAGTCATTTGACTCTATGTATGACGACAATGTCAGTCTGTCCACCACTTTGTTCCAGACTGAAACATATCAACAAGTATTGTGGACTTTGGTGATCCCCTGGCTTTTCATCTAGCACCACCAGCTGGGTCAAAATTTATTGACTTTAGCTGGTTAATAGCTTAGTCTATGACCAAACACTAATAAGACTCCCATCAGCCTCAGTTAGCATTGTTATTTGGAGAATGTAATTGTTCCAATGGCCCATTATTCCGAAACCAAACGCCCATTCCTCCGAAGGACAGTTGTTCCAAAAATACACAATCTGGTATCACCAACTAACGTACGGAACATAACTGACCTAACTAATGTACTTATTTCAACCCTAACCAAGTATTTTTGATACATAAAACTGCAACCAATTCACAGTGTTAACCATGTGTTTATTATTGTTACCATGATGATGAAGGTCACCTGACTTTGTCCTTTCCTGCACATTCAAATACGCTAATATATTAAGGGGAAAACTGCAGGAAGAGTGTGTATTTTGGAAAAAACGTGCATTCGGATCGGGGGGCTGTCATTTTTCGGACTACTTGGGTATCAGAATAATGAGCCGTCTGAACAATGTCTCCATGGCTGTAAACTCTTGATTCTCTACAAGCTGTAGTTACTCAAGCTGTACTTATGTGGCAAAGAAAATCTAAGTCAGTTTATCTTTACAACACTGTTCTCTAAGGTCAAGACTCAAAACAGTAGCTCAAATCTTCATAGAGTAAAGGCATCTAAGAAAGGGACTTCCCCAGCTGGGCTCTGGACAGGCCTTGTCAAGTCTGATGTGTGTGTGGTGTGTGTGTGGTGTGTGTGTGGTGTGTGTGGTGTGTGGTGTGTTGCTGCTGTGTGTGTGTAAAGTCAGATACACAAATCACCACAAGCAGAGATGCCACATAGAGCTGGGATCACTTTTCTGTCTATCTTCATTTGAGCGAAGTCCCCGAGGCTGTGCTGTCCATTGTTTTTCCACAGATAAAAAAGGGAGTTGTTTCAAGACAAAATTCATTTTAAAGTCTCCATGGGAAAAAATAACCTTTTTTCAATATTGTTATGTGTTGTATTACACACTTATTTACCAATATGTACCATAAAATATCCAAAAGGAAGAAAATGCTGAAAATACAAAGTACAAAAACACTTCATCCTTCCTTCACATCCCGTTTGGACAATAAATACATCAAATGGCAATAAGTGCCTGTGAAAAAAGACTGAGTGTTTTTGTTGCTAAAAATGAGCATACATAACCAAAAGCAAGGAACAGAAACTGCAGGACTGCATGAAGACAAATGGACCACAAAATTGTCAGCCAGGCCGAGGCTGGGTGCCATTTTGTATCCCGGTTGGTTGTCAATTCCTCATTAACCCTTTCTCTCCTGGTAGCTCTTGCTCGCTTTTAGGTGAGTGACTGTAAAAACAATCACAAGATTAATAAATACAGTCAAGCCTCTCCACTCAAAGACATCTTCAAGACTTTTTTTTAATGATTAAAAAAAATGGCCCCATCAGTTTTTGTGACATAAAAGTCTCACAAGTCTAGAAAAACCACAGAATCAAAACCTCCAATATGAGGTGTCAACTCCGTCCACCAGCCTGAAGATACTTCCTTTGCCATGACTGGGAGACTGACTGTGAGAACTCCAGTATAGACTGTCAACTTTTACTGACTTTTATATTACAACAGTGCAATCACTTTCAAACCATAAGGCACACTCTAATTTACCAGAAAAAATAATGCTGAATGTGATCTCTTTCTATTCTTTAAGCATCAGAGTGAAAATTATAGAAGCAGAAGCATCACAAATGCTATTTCATTCTTTGCAGTTGTAAAAGGCAGGCATGACTATTTACTGTTGCACACCACACTGTCCTGAGGCACAGAAATAAAATGTGAAAAAGCTGCAATTTAGTGCCATTCAAGTTCTTATGACTACATTGCAGACAATGGCCTAGTTCTTTTTGTGCAACTGTTATTAAAGTTTTTATATAAAATAAGAAGAAAAACTTGCCAAATACTATTTTTTACGTACAATAAAAATGTTTCAGTTGTTCCTCAGAACTCCCACTAGAAATCATGGCATTTTAATTACGAACATTGTAATACCTACAGGAGAATTCAAAAACACTGCAGCTTAACCAGACAGTGAAACAGAGCCGTGAAAATTAAACTCTACAACTGCGGCACAATGCACTTCACTGACTCTTCACCTGGATAAAGGTTGTCTTCTGTCCACTCCACAGTCCTCTCCCTCATCTTTTACCCCCACCTCTCCACGTTCTCCAGAGGTGTCGGCTGCCGGGTCAGGGGGTGTCCCACTGGGAGCTTGAGGGGACCTCTTCCCTCCCTGTCTGGTGTCTTCTTGCACTCTGTGGTCTCCCTGGTCTCGCTCTTGTTCCTGCTGTGGGTGCAGAGGTCCATGTCCCTTCAAGGACCACTGCTCCTCCTACAGCAGTGAAGACAACACAGCAATAATATTTGGGATCAGCGTGAGTTTCGCTGGTTTTGCAAAATGACATTCTGACCACAAGATTGCTACTTTGAATCAGGAGATTAACTGGGGTCATTTAGAATTGGAGAACTTAAAAACGCAACCCAGTCAGCCTGAGGAGCTCTCATCAAACTGTTGTGGGAGACTCTTTAATATGATTCACAGTCTGTGTATTTCCTGCTTGCTTGAAAGCATATTCATAATTAACAGTGTATCCTTTGATAACCTTAAATGCTGGATATGCATGTAGTCTTTTATTTGCAGAATTCCCCTCTGATAAACATTACACAGACAGACAGAAATGTGGCATATTATCTCTTAAACATTTAAAGTAACACAAAGCAGATTTAAAAAGACAACTCATCTTTGTCTACCAGCTCTGTCCACATGTGATGCATTAGTATCAAGAACACTTCCTTGTATGTGTACAGTATATGTATGTAGGTGTGCATGCATGTTTGCTTTTATTCATGCATGTTCTTCTTTGGGATGTGTTTGATTTGTGTGGCTGTATTTGCGTGTCTGTGTGTGTGGGCCTGAGGCAAACTGAAATGAAGCAACTCTCTGCAGACACCGCCCCGGGCTAACTTAATATGGGCCTCCTTTGACACAAACACACACACACACACACACACACACACATCTAACCGTGGCTTGATGCTGGGTTTCACATCCATTTCGTCAACTACCACCCACCAGCACGCTGCAGAGTGGGAGGTTAGGTTTTATCAGAGCCAGCCTGCACTTGTCGTACGTTTGAACCATGAGGATCTAAGGCTGTTACCTCGACAGTGTTGTGCTGAACAATATCTCTGCCATCCAAAACAATTTATTTCAAACATGCAGGTTATGTTATTTAAATCGAGCTACTGCAGTGAACTCAAATGACCTGTGTATGTATGTTTTGTTTACCTGTCCGAACAGACCAACGGTATCTCCGGGAGGGTAGCTGAGAGCCACACTGCAGTCTGATGATGACGAGAGAAGGAGGAGTCTATCGCCATGGTAACACATCTCCAGGTGAGTCACACGTTCAAGGTGTGGGCGGAAATTACGCAGTAGTTTTGGAGGTTCTTTGGTTATTCCATCATTTGCCTCAAGACAATGATGCTGAGGGACACAGGAGCAAAGAAGTTGAATAGTTTATCTATGTTTTGGCTGGAAGAACATTTTCCTTTGTGGATGTTCAAAAACATGCATTTAATTTATATCACTGTAAGACCCTGGACATTTAATGTTGCTATGCCTGTCAAGTGTTACCTTCTCTCACTGCAAATAGCAGTTTACAATGGCAACATTCATAATAGCAACAGTGGCAGATTTACCACTCAGAATTCTTCATACACACTGGCGACTGTGTATAGTTGGCTAATAAATATAAAATGGTCTTTAGTATTCAATTAATGGCTACATACTTGATATGCTAGAAAGACTAAGCTAAAGGTGCACGTCCTTTGTAAAAGGACAGCTGATGATCCATGTATAAGACTGAAATAAAGGAACAGCAGATCGTTCTTGAACCACAGAGTAGAGACACTATTATACTGCAATATGATAAGATCAGACTGTTATTTCGTTCTAACATAAGCCCTGTTTGGATACTTCGCTTACTATAGAAAAACAGACATGGGTTAGATTTATGCATTATTATTTGTATTTTTGTTCTTCCAAAAAGAAAAGGCTTTGAGGATTGAAACAAATAAGTTTTGCTGGGGTTACTGGAGTGTAAACCTCACTTATTCCAATGTTATCCTAAACTCTAATACCATCCAGGAACACAGTGGGGAAATACTACACCATTGCATTTCTTACAGTTCTGCTGTTATGTTTTTGGTTTTGGAAAGGTGATAAAATAAGTCACTTTCCAAACTCTTTTGACACCAAGAATTGCTCTTACAATAGACCCCTGCAAACCACTTCAATATGTGTAGAAATTCAAAGCTTGACAGGTCAGCTATAGTTACAGTTGCTGAGCTATGTCTTAACAATCACTGTTCAGGGGAGGTGTTACATGAGGGTTCAGTAATAAATGAATGAATGGTCATGATGGTGGTGAAATGTGTTTTGCAGCAAGAAATATAAAAAAAATACAGTACATTTATTGTAATTAACGCAAATACTTTGTTATTTTATGTTGAATGTTGTGTAATATGTAATACCCTGGTCATATCTGTATAAGCTAAAGGTGTATATAGTCCATATAGATTTAATATTTATTTATCATTCTTACTTTTACGTCTGACTCTTGAGCTACTGTAACAAGTTAATTTCCCTGGTGTGCGATCAATAAATGTTATCTTGTCATATCTTAAAATAACTACCACAAACTACTGCATCATGTAAGGATGAGACCTGGTACTGAACTACGAAGTCCTGTATCTAAGAGCACAACACTATACAATACTGTGCAGTCATGTAAAGTCATCCAGATTGCATGCACCAGACTTGCCGAAGGACAGGATTTCTACCAGAGCACTGAGCTTGTCCAACTTCTTCAACTCTGCTACATATATACATAAATCTCCATAAATTAAACTGGAAGCCAAATGAGACGCAACCATTTGAATTCATTGCCTCTTATAAACTGTGACAGAGAGTTGAGCTGCGAATATTGTGGCAATAATACCCGAGAGGGTGTTCTTTTACTGCGATTATGAGCATGACAGTGATGCAGCTACGCCTCATACCGTAGTCTTCATAATCAGAGTCAAAAAGTCAAAAGGGCTTCTCTGAGGTGTCAGAAACTCTTCATCTACCAACCATGTGTCGTGTTAAGTGGCTACGCTGAAGTGAATCTCTAATCAGCTGACTTGGCTGAAATTACTGATCATTTTACTTTATATTTAACGATTTTATCCTCTTCTAGTGGAGGTGATTTGCCAAACAAATGACATAGTAAATTTGCTCTTCCATACATTTCAGACTGTGAGACTAACATTTTTCCTCAGTACTACATCATGCATTTTTATTTTTAAGATTTAATAATCAATCTTATTTTGCTTTACGAGTAGCATAAAGGGAACTATAATCTGAATTTCATTACACAACCCTGCGTTGTAAATGACAGTAAAATAACCTTGAATCCTTGAAATTCAAAATCAGTTACCAGAGAATGGGGGCATTGCGACCTTATGCTAATCAATGGAGATTTTTTAAATGATTGACTGGTCTGGTTGTACTCAAAACGACAGACCGTACTGTCATTCCCAGAGTGAACAACATGCCTGATCTAACTGAAGTATCACGGTTCACTTTCTCTTCACTGTCTACTACAGTCTGTCTGTTGATCTCTGTCCCTCGCTGCGGCTCTGTGTTCATCAGTCTCCATCAATCAGCCTCTTGTTCTCCTTACAGTATACACAACTG